TCTGGAAATGCGTGACCCGCTGAGCTTCTCCTTTTCCGTTTTACCCATTTGGCTTCAGAACAAGTAAGTAGCCCAAATACCCCTTTGCGGGAAGTTCGTTTGCTTTCTGGATCTTTCATGCCCTCGCTAAAGAAATGGTAGAAGCTGAAATGACCCCTCACTGCAAACACACCCGTGTTCAGATTTGGCCTGTTTTCCAGGGAAACCAACAGGCAACGTTGCCATTCTAGGAAATGGGCCGATTCCCATTTTGAGAAACTCAGGAAGGGATCCAAATCTCAAACTTCCAGTTTCTGTTCGCAAATGGCTCCCCCAAACTCCTTCCTGGAGATTCAACCTCCATGATTTTCCTTGTACTTCTCGTCTTTACCTTGCCTTTCCTAGGAAAACCAAAACGCCTAGGAAAAGGCCGGAGACTGAATCTTCAGGTTGCGGTGTAAATATGTGTATATATATAGTAATAATAATAAAATGATAATAATCATAGTAATAATAATCATAAAAAAAAAAAAAAAAAAAAAAAAAAAAAAAAAAAAAAAACCAGGCAGCCGTTTAGCCGCCAGGCCATTTCCCGATGTCCTGATGGTTGATCCACACTGCCAGCTTGCGGTCGCTGGACGCAAAGACCTCGAAATATCCGCGAAATGTGGCAAAACTCGGAGCAAGGAAGGAACCCTTTGCAAAGAAAAACATAACTATATATATATATATAATAATATGTGGGTGTGATTTTTGGGGTGACCAAACATATATATATATATATATACATATATATATATATATCAATATATGTTGGTGTGGGATTTTTTTGTGGGTGACCCCCCCCCCCCCCCAAAACGGTGGTTCTGCTTCTTTTGGCTTCCTTTAACAACCAACCAACAAGAGAGAACCCTGGCAAAACAGTCCCTTGGAGTATGACACTCTGGACTTGACTTCCGGCCCTAACATGGGCACCGTTCCCCCAACAACTTGGGCGGGGTCATACAAAACCTTGGAGTTCTGAAACATGGCCATGCAACCATGCCACCCTTGGCTGTGTCCAAAGTTATGGCCGTTTCCAGAATTACGGCCGAACTGAAACATATATATATATATATATTTGAAACACCAAACAAACGAGGCAGCTTTTTGGAGTACCAGGCAGTTTAATGGGTCAGGAGACTTCAGGGGCACTGGAGTCGGAAAGTCAGCACAGGGGTACTCAAAAGCTTGCCGGTGGTGCATGAATCCGGGTGAAAGCCATCGGCTTCCCAAACTGACCCCAAAACGGACACCTTTTCGGCTCTTCGGCTTCCGAAAAGGACCGGCCTTCGCTGAAAGGCGTCGCTGCCGGCTTCGCGCTCCGGCCGAATTGAACCAAACATCGCTTCAGCTCGAGACATCGGGAGCCGTTCGACTGCTTTGGGAAAGCATTCAGCTCGCCTTGGATTGGCGATTTTTCTCCCCTATAAAATATGGTTGTCCCCTTCCGCAAGGAGACGCAGCCTTCAAAAGTAAACAAAAAGAAGACAACAAGTTTCTTGGTCGCCTGGGGCAAACTGATCCGACCCTTGTTGTCGCTTTTGCTGCCTGAAAGGGGGATTAAGTTGCAATTTGGCGATCTAAGTCTGGCATTTTGGGTCTATCCACTGCAAACCCCCTAAGCCCCGGACTCCGCGGCCGTGGGGCCATTCCCCGCAGGTGCCACTGGCCTGGTAGACTCTCGTGGCCTTTTGCTTTTTTTGCTCCAAAATTATAAGCGTTGATTCCAACCATTCTGTTCAGCCATCTTGCTTTTCAATCACCAGATCCATTTTCCCTGGAGGTTTCTAGAAAGAAGAAATCCTGGACAAAAATGGAAATGGGGAAGGTAGCCCTAGAAAAATGAGAAACCTGCGCGTCCCTGATCTACAGCACGCTGGAGCACAGGGGTGTCCCCACCTCCCGGTCAAACAAATCCGTGTTTGGCTCGCGAAAAATCGAATGTGTCACCCAAAGCAGTTGGAGGAGCCAATGGAGGGCCAATTCCGCGGATTCGTTCTGAAGGAACCAGCCCAAGAACCAAAAAACAGCGGGGCCGGGGGCCGGGGGCCGGGGGGTGTCCTGAAAACCGGGGCTCAAGTCGCGAGATGCGGCTTCTCTTAACCAACCTTCCAGCAATTGTCCGCCTGCGGGAGCGAGATACACAAAGGCGGCGCCTTTCCATTGAGGAACCAGGAAGGTAGCTAAAAGACTCGGCCTTCAGATGTTTGCAAACTCTACTAGGTCCTCCAGTAGAGAGGTTACAATAAGGGTACCCTTTTTCTGTAGTCTATTCTAGTAGGGGCAAAAAAGGGGGTGAGAAAGGGCACTACTGGGGGACCTAGTCTACATGGAACCTGACTCGTTTCAGCTTCCCTCTTGGGGCTTTGGTTTGGATAGGAATGGCTCCTTGGCTCCCTTCCAAACGCCGGATAGGCTAGCCAGAACAATTGAAACGCCGACCAATGGGGAATGCAATTAGCGCAAAGGAGTTTAAACCCATATAACGGTTGATCCAGGGATGTTTCAACCACCCCAAAGGAAAACCAGTTGATCCCCGCCCCAAAAAAACAAAACTGTCTGAACATCACTCTTCTTGGTGGTCGATCCCTTGCCACAGTCAAACTTTTATTGGGGCGTCATAAACTTTCATGCTCTCACGCCCCCTGAATAACAATATTTCCAATGGTGATAGTTTTTTTTGAACCCACAGGGGAAACTAAAATCTATACCCTCCCACCAACTAACATGGAAGTGCAAAAAGGCCCTTTCCAGGAGGAAAAAGTAGTCTTTCCACAGAAGTCTGTGCTGGAAGTTTGTTAGCTGGTAGGAGGGTAACATCTATTCTTGTAAGCAAATGAAATTAGCGTCCCCTCACCGCTTTTGGAATGGAAAAGGGAAACCAAACGGGGAACCTGCGCACATGGCCTCATGATTTTTCCACTGTCCAGGGCACCCCGTTCAGTGGTAGGTTAAAGGGACACCAACTTTGATCCAAACACAGAAAGGGTCAAAGTCATGACAGCTTTTTCGCCGCAAAAGGACCCCAAAATCACCTGGACATCCCTTCAGTGGTAGGTTCAAGGGAAAAACCACCCCAGTCTGACTCTGACCCACAGAAACCGTCAAAATCGCACCCAAGAGCAAACTTTGATCCCCAGAAAAATGCTGGTGTCCTGGAAGCTTCACTCACACAAGTACACAAAGAAGAGGTTGATCGTATCCACAGAAAACAAAGAAACAAGCGCCAAGGCATCGGATCGGATCGAGGCCCCACCAGCACTGGCTGGGACTCGGGGAGCTCGAAGTGCAAACCCGCGGCCTGGCGCCAAACTCGCCAGCAGTTGGGTCAACCTGAAACGAGCAACTCCCCCCCACCCCCCACCCACCCCCCACCCTTAAAGGAAGCCATGGGGGAGGTGTTTTTTAGGGGGCATCCCCTTATCTGCTGAGAACCAGCAAGTTTGGCTAATGGACATCGACCCGCAATCAAGACCAAAGGCATCCAACGATGTTTCTTTGGTCAGCCTGCCTGAAACAAAAACACCATCCTCCCCAAACACGCACACACACGACGTTTGGCCTCCTTTCTGGATCGAAACGAGCCCATTTTGCCATTGTTTGAAGGTGTCAGGGTTGGAGAAACAAGAGGGACGCCGATTGAAACGGACAAACCTTCGAAACATGCGGACAAATATTGCCATCAACTCCTTGCGTCGGCCCTGGTCATGGCTCTAGGGATCCTTGTCAAAACTCCTGAAACGGGGTGCATGACAAGCAACGGGAAGTTTGACCACACCTGTGCGTTCTCACCATAGCCCTTCATCTCGAAGCAAGAAGGTCGCAGCTTTGATGGGAAAAAAACACGTTTGCTTCAGGGGCTAAGGTCACAGAAGAAGGGGACCTTTCGGGATGGGCTTGAACGGACAACCAAAGGAAAGCCGCCTATGGCGGGGTCAAGCAAACATGCTGAGGACATGTCAGGTGTGCTGCCTCCGCCTCAGAAAGACTCAACGAGAAAAAGGCTGGGGGTCAAACGGGGGCTCTTGTCGGGAAAAGGAAACCAAGATGCGCTATGGCCAGTTGGGTTTTGGTTTTTTGTTTCACATGGCTGCCTTGGACCGGCACGGGCATAAAACTACCAGCACTCTTTGTGCCAAAGATGCCGTAGTTGGGCTCCCCCCCCGCCCAATTAGCGCTGCGGTACATTCTTGAAGCTGTGCGGTCCTCTCAAAGCCATATTTGCTCAGACAAATACTTTTCGGAACATCGGACTCGACGAAAAACACCACGCCCAACAACTCCCGACGGCTCGGTTCTACATCTTTGGAACGAAATCGCGGCGTTGATCGCACCTTCAGCCTGAGTTCTTCAAACTCGTCCATGCCACCTGAAAGACGAAGGTACGGTGCGAAATCGTGACGGACACCAGATCTATGTTGCAGCCACCTTCTTAACGGGCCAAAGGAACAGACCTGCAACAAGTTAACTGGGTTGTGGTGGTTAAGGGAAATTGCAAACCCAAAAGGATAAAAACAGGTTGGTTCTGACAGGCAATGCTTGTTCGAGCATTTTGTCAAGCGTATCCGGGTTGCTCACGAAGTGGTGCCAGTGACGAGAAATGGCCCTTCTCCCGAACACGCTCTTTTCACTTCCTCAAGTGGGGCGCATCCCCAAAATTGGTTTGGTGGTGAGGTTGGGGGGCGGCTGTGCAAACCTTGAAGCCAAACGAATTCAGGGTAACCTGCTTTTCCTCAAATGAATCCGTGTGGGTACATGGATCCCCTTGTCTGAGTCCTTAAAGGAATGCCTGAGGTTGAACAACAACAGCTGAAACCCATGAGTCAGTGCGTCAGAAACCCTTGCCACAATGAGTGCTTGCCATGCCAAACACATGCCTCCCATGTCTCCAGTATCTTGCTGCTTTCCTTGTTCTTTCTGCTTTGTGTCTTCCTTTTTTTCCCGGGGGGGGCAGAATCCTGATAACTTATAACGCAGATTATTATGCAACTTAGGGGTCACGAACCTTCACGAAAGGAATCCTGGTGGTTGGCATAGGTTTCAGGCGTCCTATCAGGGAGTACGGCACCCTGGAATAATGGACTCAGTTGCCCAAAGGACCCAGAATTAAAAGGTTAACCTTTTGACACCTCTACTAAAAATGGACAAAAATGGGAAAACCAAAAGGTCAAACGGTCAAAAGGTCGATTAGCTTTGGACAACTGAGTGGAACTTAAAGACCTTTCGGTCCTAAAGGAGCTGTCCTTTTTCCCAAGGAGCTGCACTTCCGACGCAAGAGCTAAGCTGAGATCACCCGTTCCAAACAAATACAAAGGGGAAACCTAAAGACTTGTCTCTGACACAGAAATGCTGGCTTGCTGCAATGCCGCGCTTGGAAGTTGTCCTAACACGCGCCCCGCCAAAATATGCAAAGGCTCTCCCATGTTGAGGCTATCTGTTTGGGTCGGATTTCAATGGACTGTTTGATCGACATCATTTACTTGGGTGTGACTCTTTGAGGGTACCCCTTTTTGGTGGCTTTGAAGTGAAACCAAGAGGAAAACACAAAAAAAGCATTGGGCCTCTTGAACAAACTAAAGGAACCCGTTCACCGAAAAGTTCAAGCCTTTGATATCTAGCAACGGAGGCAGGCCGACGCCTGATCAGATGCCTGTTGAACCGGATGTGGCAACTCTGCTTATCCATGTGAGATCACACAATGGATGAAGTTTCTCCGGGGAAAAACACTAAGACCAACAAAAACACGTGGCTCGATGGGACAAGGTGCCAGAAGACCCAAAAAGGTGCTTGGTTTCAATCCTCCCCTGTTCAACCCTTCCTCTCGATCCAAATGGGAGTATCTTTTTGTTGAGGGTCACCGTTTTAACTTGGTTTCTAGAGGAAACCAAAAGGAATCCAATCATTTTAAAGGAAACCAACGCAACAGGAAACCACCCGTTTTAAAGGGAACCAACAGGAATCCGTGCATTTCTAGGGCCCCCCCCTAAGCAAGACACCCAAGTGGCATCCCCGGGCGAAACCGGATCAATGGCTCACGCGCCTGCCCGCGGAGCATAGCTCACCGATTGCCGCAGCGGCAGGTAAACACCTCCAACGTTGCCCCCGTGGCCCGGTGGCCCTTTTTCTTTTTGGCATAAAGTCAGCCGGTGGCTCAAAATTAAACGGGAGGGGCAAACCGCAGGTTTTGGCCACCATGTTTTCACTTCCCAGGGCAACCCATTGTGGAATTCCTTTTGTTTTTTGAGCCGCAGCCCTGAAGTCCAGGCCAACCTTGGGGTCAAGGCACTGAAGTCTGAGGCTTCCTCACCTTTTCCCCTAGGCCTTGGAAGGGAACCCATGTGGAAGGGCACCAAGCCAAAGCAACCAAACGCTTTGGACCACTGGGGTTGAATCACTCGGCCCCCCGTCCGGCCAGTATGGTTGTTGAAACCCTTCTAAGAACCCCTTTGAAGGTTCTAAAGAACTCAGTTGCCCAAAGGACCCAGAGGTTAAAAGGTTAACCTTTTGGCACCTCTACCAAAAATGGGATCCCAAAATGGGAAAACCCAAAGGTCACAACAGGCCGATTCGCTTTGGACCACTGAGAGAGCCCTTCTTTGGGGGGGGGATGTGGCGGGGACCCACGCGCCTGACACCGCGGGCGCCAGGCCCCGCAGCGCCTTGGCCACCAGCATCTCCACCTCGCGCAAAAACCGCCGAGACGATGCCGAGGGGTTTGAGCTTTTCTGTGGGGGGTCCACGTGGCAGTGGCTCCAAAAACCGGTACCAAAATGGAACCCTGGTAAGTGGAAACATGGACCAAAAGCTGGGTAACCCTAGGGCTTGAGTCTTTTGTGGGGGCATATGGGTATGGCTCCAAAAACAAAAGGAATTCCACACTGGGCTGCCCGATCGGTAAGTGGACACATGGTTGCCAAAAGCTGCGGTTTTAACTTTGAGCCACTGCCACGTGGGGTCCAACGGGTTTTCAGGCAAGCTGGGCTGCCCTCAGATCCCCTGCTAAAAGTTTTGGCTTCTAGTGGGTGACATGCAAACTACCACTAAACGCTAAACAGCTAAGACGCCCAAGGGTTTGAGTTTGTGTGGGGTCACATAAGGCAAAATGAGGTCAAACGGCAAACGGTGTGGGTTTCTTGGGGGCAAACCCTTATGCCAAATGAGGTCACGTCAGGCAAAATTGCAGGTGCAAAGAGGCCAAAGAACGTTGTAACGGTTGAGGGCGGGGTCTTTGGTTTAGTTTCCCATGGGAAACAATGACTTCTGTTTTGTGGTGAAATTCATAGGGGGGCCCACCCCCAACCGACCAAATGACAAAGTAGCCACGAGCATGTGTGCACACAGAACCCTAAAATAATCATCCAGCACTTGTACTCCTAGCGTGAAAATTGCGAATCCTAAAATCATCATCCAGCACTTGTACTCCTAGCATGAAAATTGCGAAACGCTCGGCGTGCTAAAGAATGCCAGGTGGAGAAACATGTTTGAAGCAGCCCATCCTCAAAACCAACCAAGACCCAAGCAGGCGTGCACTTCATTGGCCAGAGCGGGAGCCAAATCTGGCCTGAAGCTGCGGTTCACCCTTAACAGGACATGCTTGTCCAAGAGCTTCCAAGTGATGAAACTAAACTGAGAAACCGAGCTGAAAGAACCTGCCCCCCGGGACCCCCAAAACCCTGAGGGTCTTGATTTTCTAAAGGACTCAAATAAAGCGGTCTTAGGCTCCTAGGGTGCATCATTGTGGTCAAGGTCGCAAACTACAATCCTTAATGAGGCTGCATTGTAATTTTTTCCGCATTGAAACAGGACTTGGGCAACTTACATTGAGGCGACCTCTATCACTATTTATTGGGTGTAACTGTTGAGGGTGACCTTTTTGACATGGGCTTTAAAGGGAATTCAAAGGCCAACCACAAATGTTTGGGGGTCCCTCTAACTCATATTACCCGTGTTGCCAACCTCGAAAGAAAAACTAAAAAAACCTGATTTGCCCAGAAGCAGTTCAATGTGTTGATACATGCAAACAAAAAGGTCCAAACGCTTGCAAGCTCCGGGTAAGACCAACAAATGGGTATGTCAAAGTAGCAGGACGCCCCCAAACTGTGGTTTGGCATTCCTTTTGGTTGCCCGTTGAACCACAATGAACAGAGCACCTTCAAAACACAGCACGCACGCACAAAGACACATTTCGCGGTGTACAGCAACACTGCCACATAACTTCACCGTTCACAAAGCCACTGCTGCAAGACTTCGCCGTGCCCACTGCCACACAACTTCGCCGATCACAAAGCCACAGTTGCCACAGACCCGCAAACAAACACGGACACAAACACACACACACACACAGAAATATATATGTAGTGTTGAAAGCCACAGAGCGAAAGATGTGAAGCCAAGTGCTGCTTTCGGGTGCCCATCACTTGAACTTTCGAGTGTGAGGCCAGAAATGTGCTGACCGAAATGGACTCAGTGTCCACAAGCCCAACACGAGACAGGAAAGGTTCGATACCAAAGAACACACTAGTCCTATATGCGATTGTCTTTTTTCAGGTTGGACCTGTGGCTGGGTGTTCCTTTTCCCTACACCGCCAACAAGAACTGGTAGCCTCAAAAAAGACACACACAAAGAGGGGAGAAAACAACAAAATACGGTGACGTCCCTCTTACTTTTCCCTTGAAAAGTCACCAAGACACACACACACACAAAACAAAACAAAAAACAAAACGGTGACTTTCCTCTTGGTTTCCCTTAAGGAGCCGACCAAGAAAAAACGGGCACCGTTGGGCCATGAAGACGACTCGAGTCTCTCCTCGCCGACGGATTCGCCTCCGCCCGCTCGTTGCGGTCCATGGCCGGGCAGAAGCGGAAGCCCCGGATGTTCCGGGCGGCGCGGAGCTGGCGAGGCCGGGGCACCGAGACTGCGTCGAGGAAATCCCGGTGAACAGTAAGCTAGGTCCTCCAGATTTGAGAGAGGTTAGGGTACCCGAACTTTTTTGGGTCGTCTATTTTAGGGGAACCCTCCCAGTTGGTGAGAAAGGGCACTACTGGGGGACCTAGGTAAGGGTTCGCAGAGGTTCATGGGAGACCCCAGGAATGACCCCAGGAATGACCCCAGGAATGACCCCAGGAATGACCCCAGGAATGACCATCCATTTCCGAAAGAGTCTAAGGGTTCCTAGAGGTTCCTAATGAAATGACACCTGGAAGACCCATCCCCGATTTGTTTTTTCATGGGGGACCCCAGGAATGACCCCAGGAATGACCATCCATTTCCGGGTTTGGTTTCCTTTAAGGGAAGTTGCAGGTTAGGTTCCTCATGGGTTCCTAAGGGTTCCCACAGGCTCCTAAGGAAATGACCCCTGGAAGAGCCATCCCCCATCTTTTATGCGGGAACCCCCGACAGGATTCATTGTTCCTCATGGGTTCCTAGACGAGCCACGGCAAGGGCCGCCGGCCTTGCTCCTTCGGTTTCTGCAAGGCACGGTGCTTCTCAAGTGGTCCAAACCCAAAGGCTTGAAGCCAATCTTTTCAAAAGCAAAACTAAAAAACTAGAACTGGTTGATTCGATAACAATCATAATAATAATAATAGTCATAATAATAGTAATAATAATTTGAGGCGATCCCACGTTCCGATGAAAATTCCAATCAGTCCTCAATCCTTTCTGCCTTCAACACCTTAAGTTGCTTGGGCACTGACTGATGGAATCTAGTCGCACAAAGAGCTACGGTTGCAGTAGGTCCATCTAAGTTTCTTTGCGGATTGCTCTTTAGCATCTCCCGTCTTTCATTGTTGTGGATCAACAGGCTCCCGGCTTGCAGGGGTCGTGTGAGTTCTCCCAAACGTCTGGTGGTCATTGGATCATCAGCCTGGGGCTTGGACTTACCAGAACGACACCCACTTTTCATGCCCATAGTTCAAGGTGTTTCGAGCTGAGATTGTGCGCTTTGCGCCCGCGTCATCATGCGCCCAAAGTCCTGCCGACAGGAGAAATGCTTCAAGAAAGTGTTGAACCCCATCCAAACTTCTAAGCGGATTTGAATGTGTCCTTTGAGACTCGGCACCGATAGAGAACGCTGTGCTTCCTTTTTGCACGAACACCAAAGGGAAGGTGCTACCATCACTCAAGTGTGTGTGTGTGTGTTTTTCTTCTTTTTCCAAAGAACCACCCACCTCACTGGACTCTTTCGTGGCTTCGTTCCCCTTCGAGCGCTTTTTTCGGCGAATCCATCGCCTGCACCGAGTGCAAGATCCGGGCCGACACGTCCAGCTTCGCGCCGGCGGGCCTCGGATCCGATCTGACCTAAGTTCCTGCGGGGAAAACGTGGAGACCCCCCGCCAAAAGGGGGGAAACGGCAAACCACCAAACCACCAATGTAAACTATCAATTGGAGGCAACCTGATTTTTGCCGGCCATCTCTGGTTTTTGCCTTTGCAGGCTGCGGTGGACACGCCAGACAGTCCGGATGCATGCGAGGGCCTCTACCTCCAGGGGTTTGGCGGAATGTACGTGGGGTTTCCCGAAAAGGTTCTACCAGTCTCAGTATGTCCCAGTGGTGTTTTCTGTTGCCGACACGTAGGGGTGACATGGTGCAAATGAACCAGGTTGCGAGTAGAAAATGGGATTGGGGGGAACAGCTGCTGCTGAGCATGTTGACCGTCCGTAAAGGGCCCCAAAACGAGTTGAGGTGATTGCATTTCATGTTGCCTAGCTGTGTCTAGTTAAACGCTAGGGTCCCCCTAGCCCTAGCTAAGTCTAGGTCGCTGCGGCGAATGCCAACTACGAGAAAAGCAAGCAGGAAACAACTTGGAACCCATGTCATCCGCGAGGAGGTACTTGCAGGATATTGCATGGAAATCCAAACCATTCTAGGGGTAACTTCCCCATTCTTTCCAGGGATCCTTCTTTTCAGGAAACCATCAAAAACCCAGGGGAAACAGCCGGTTTTTGAAAAGAACGATGCTTGGAAAGAATGGGGAGTCAACCCCTAGAAAAACCAGGTCCTTCCCAACTTGGTCGACGTTGGGTGCGGGGAGCAACCATTCTCAAATCTTAGCGGTTAAGTGGTTGGATATATTTCAACCACTAAACCACAATAAGCAAAAATGTGAAATGGTTCCCAACGACAACCATGCCAAGGTGTTTTGGGTGAAACCTGAACAGACCCGTAGGACTGCTTGCAGAGCCTGAAATCGAGGGGTTTCATCTTATAAGCCGACCAAACGTGCAGGAACCTGGTTCTGCGCCAACAAAAAATGAGGAAAATTTCCCCAGTACCAGGGCCCTGATTTCTCTCAACAAAGCTCTCTGCTGAAATCTCGACTGTAACTCGGTCGTGCGTTGATCCCTTGCTAATGCTAAACTTAAACTAGGTCCTCCAGTGGAGAGGTTAGCATAAGGGTACCAACTTTTTCGGGACGTCTATTTTAGTAGGGGAACCCTCTCAACCGAAAAGTTGGTACAAGGGCACTACTGGGGGACCTAGTAAACCTTCAGTGGAATATGTCATCAACTCTTCGAAACTCCACAGGTATGCAAAGTATCCGCCAGTCAAAGCCATTGGTTGGGCACCGACAAGTGAACCGCCCGAGCCACATCTCATGACTGGTTTCAAGGGGACTGGCGAGCTCCGTGGTTCCATTGGCACCCCTATGGCAACCAGAGGTCAACCAACCAACCAACCGACCGACCGACCGACCGACCAACCAACCAACCAACTGGCCGGGGCTAAGCCCGAGCCGCGGCTATATTTGTTCCATTATTATTTGTTTAAACACCGGTTCCTCAAAAAGGAGTGCTTTTAAAGAAGACAACAGGACCCACCCGCCGATTGTCCAATGTTTTCGTCATTCTGAGGTCGAAGCAACCCAGGTGCCTTGATGTCAAGCATGCCCCGTACAATGGATTGATCAACCAGAGGGTCAATTTTCCTGGGTCAACATAGTCAAAAGGCCAAGTGGGTACCAGGATCGACCTCTTGTATACATTGTCAACATGCAACATGAGCAGCGCCCGAAACTGTTAAAACCCGTTGGTTCTACTAACATGGTCACAAGGGTGATTGTATGGCCGTGGGTCAAAACCAATGGTACCATTCTGGGCTAGGCGCACCACCCATTTTAGTCTAGTTTAGTGGGGGTTGGGATGTTCACTGGGGCTGCGATTTGGATTTTGACCCATGGCCAGCCTAAGAACCGGCTACTTGGGGCGGTGGACAATAGGCGAAACTCTTGTTGCCTGATGTTGCTTCAACCTCTTTGGAGTTTGGGGCTTTAGGGGAATCGGGACAAATTAGTAAGGGGAATGAACTCATCTGCGTCAAACGGCTCAAGGCCTTCTTCCAACCTTGTGGTGTCCAACTTGTCCGTGTCGCGAGCTCCTCTACGCTCTGCGTTAAGTCCTCGCAGGTGTCCTCCGTCACGTAGATTCGAGCCCCATATGCCCGGACGCAAGGCCGGTCCGAGCCAGAGGCCGTCGTGTGTCCGGCTGCTTGGCCCGATTGTCTCTATCCGGAGCCATCTCGAGCGCGGTTGGCTTAGTTCAGGCATTGGGATGGGACAAGTCGGTGTGTCCTTTGGAGGGTGACCGGCAGTCAAGTTATCCTCATTCACTGGCGGACGCTGCTGACGATGAATATAACAAATACTTCCAGGTTGCTCCCGGATTCGGCTCATATGCTTGCGTGGTTGTGTTTTCGTTGGGGAAGTTTAGGTTGGCTTTAACGGGAACCCAACAGACAGTTTCTCAACATATCTCTCGGGGTGAGGTCTTCATTTGCAAACAACCCCCATATCAAAGTTGCTTTGCCCAATATCCACCACGTAGCAACACCACCGAGCAAGAAGCTTCAGGTCCCTTCACGTCAGGCTCAAGGGCCCCCCGGCTTCACTGGCTGCGCGGCAGGATGCTGCGGCCGCACGGTGCAGTTCACCTCCCCTGCCAACAGCGGAGGTAAAACAAGAACCTTAGAAGCATAGTACATAGGGTTTAGGGTTTATGCCTACATCTAAAGAATGAAGACTGCTATAGTAAAGTAGTCAAATGAATGGTACTTATAGTAGAGTACGTACAGTAAAGCATAGTATAGCGTTGCATACTCATGTTTTCATTTAGGAATTCTAGGATATACTACATATACTGGCATGAACATCTCATAGCCGATCCGGACGCTTGGCTTTTGGCAGTGAGCCCAAGCAGTGACTGGTACTATTTTCCGATGGTACCCTTTGGAAGGGCACCAATGGGAAACCAACCCTTTGGGGCCCGATTCCCAAAAGCGACACACCCAACCCATGTGAGCGGTGAGCAGCTGTTCGATGATGCCGTTTGAATCTTGATGGATCCATGCTAGCTGTCTTGGCAAGCCTTCCCGCCCAGCAGTGTTGTGCTCGCTAGGGCTTCTGGCGTGCACAGTTGAACTTAGGCCTTGCCTTTAGAACCCCAGTTTCAGCGGAAATAAAAGGCCCCCCCGCAGTAAAATATCTGCCGGTCACACAACAACTGAAGGGTGTGTGTGTGTAATGTTCATGTTCAAACCAGGGGGGCCCATGTGCGTGACCAGCAACAGCATGCAAGAACATCCCTGGCCGTTGAGGCAGCATTTCATCCTACGATTGGGGTTTGCGCTCAGTATAACATGTGCATTGTTGCGGTTGTTCGGCATTGAGCTGCGAGCAGGATGTGAGATGAACGTGAAGTGTTACCCCGGATTGTGATGTTTGGGTTGCGGTGCTTTTTCTCAGTTGCCCAAAGGACCCAGAACTAAAAGGTTAACCTTTTGGCACCTCTACTAAAAATGGACCAACATGGGAAAACCAAAAGGTCAAAAGGTCGGCTTTGGACAACTGAGTTTTGTGTAAACTCGTGTAAAGCGATGTCAAAACAGGTCCCACACATTTGGCCAAATTTGGTTTGGATTGATTTTGTTGGAGTGCCGCCTTTTCAGGCTGGATTGAAAAGAAAAGCAAAAGGAAAGCAACCCATTTTGGGGGGGTCTCTCTTTCCATAAACTAGTTGTTTTGTGCCCAAGGGAATGCAAGGCTCCTATTCATGGGTACGCTGTTTCGGCTCCGGCTCAGGTTCACAGTCATTTCAGTTGGCAAGCAGAGCCTTCCCGTCTTTGGAACCCTAAAGGCTCCTGAAAATATCATCCTCCAGCTGACGGGTGACATGAGTATTTTGGGTGCACGCGAAGGCTTGTCAGAAGTAGGGGATCTTCTTGGTATCGCCTGCAAAAGGCGGCACAAGGCTGCACCAGGTCCTAAAAGGGTCTCATATTTTTGCAAACGCTCAACAAAGAACATCCCCAACAGCGACTGCCAAACGACATGACTTTTGCCAGCCTGGTGGGAGTAGTCCGTGCATGCGAGCGATCACCACCTGAAACATCGCAGAAAGCTCAAGCAAAGCTTCACTCACCTACCCAAAGGACCTGGAAATGAAAGGTCAACCTTTTCAGACCCGGCCCTTTAAATGGACCAAACATGAAACCCCACAAATCAAGTAGGTCGGCTCGATCTGAGTTCAAGGCTACCCAAAATTTCCCGAACCTATCACGAAAACGGCATGAGAAGACCTTGGAGACCCTTAGCCCATGGAGTTGCCTCTAACTTCCCCGGCCTCAAGCGGGTGCCTCCAAGGGTTTTGGTATTACCTGCGAGTACACCCGCTGGGTATTGATTGACCCCATTTAGGCACATTTCCGGATAAGACCGTGTTGTTTGGAATTCTGGGTCATTTCCCAAACGTGCATCCCAGGGTGTAATACAAAAACCCTCAGACTCTTGCTCTTGCAACTGCTTCCTATTGCTCTTGGGGAATATGCACACATCCCTGCACATCCGGGGATTTGTTCCCTTGGGAGGTATTTTGCCTTGCGCCTGACCTTCGTAACCCAACCCCTCAGACAGAGCTTCGGACACCGGTGCTCAGCTGCTGACATCAAACACCTCCGCAAAGTCCTCGAAGCAGTCCTCGCCCACGGGCGGGATACCAAGGGGTTGCCGCGAACATTCCAACCAGTGTTGTTGTGGGTTGTTGCTGTTGTGGCTCTGGTTCTGGCTATTGTCCTGGTTCTTATACTTGTACTTGTTTTTACTTATACCTGAAGATTCGGCAAGTGAGGTCTGCGAAGCAAGCCAATCAGCTGCATCGGCAACTAACTGCTAGTCCTTGTTCTGGTAGAGGTTGTGGTTGGAACTAGTTGCGGTGTAGCTGCTGTTGCGCTGAATTGAGGTCCCAGGTGAGTTGGCAGCCCCTGCCCGGTGGCCTAAAATGGACACAGCTGCACCAGTTGTCGTAGGGCAGATCACGCCAGATCAACCCCACGGAAAGCTGCACCTCTCGGGCCCTGTGATACTTAGACGCCTGTTGCGCCTCAAAGCACCACATGGTCCAATGGAACGAAACTATGGTGGGCACCAACAAACCAAGTTGCCCTAGGTCCTCCAGTAGAGGGGTTAGACTAAGAGTACCCCTTTTCCTGTAGCCTATTTTAGTAGGGAAACCCTCCCCAAAAAGCACTATTGGGGACCTAGTATATTATTTATACAGGGGCCAGCCATTCCCAATTTACGACGACACACCCTCCCACCATGACATCCAGCAAAGGGCCCTAGATACAAAGGCCTCTGGTCAGCTGTGGTCGGTGCAAGAGTCGTGAAAGAACAGCAGCGGTATGAGGAAGAGGGCAAGCTGATACACCGGCTGATGCCTTGTTGGTTACCTATACTTGGATCCACTAAATTTCCATGATATTGTTTACAAAGTTATGATGGAAAGGTAGTCTGAACGCCAGGACAGTTCCCTTACTTGCCCAACAAGCAGGTCGTACTTGCTTGGTGGACTGACTTTGAAAGAAAATCAACGCAAACGCAACAGCACAAACGAAACAAACAAACAAACAAACAAACAAATCAACTAACCAACCAAACAAACAAACAAAACAAACAAACACAACAAACAAACAACGAAACAAACAAACAACGAAACAAAGAAACAAAAAAACAAAGAAACAAACAAACATCAACAAACAAACAAACAAATAAACAAACAAGCAAACAAGCAAACAAGCAAACAAGCAAACAAGCAAACAAACAAACAAACAAACAAACAAACAAACAAACAAACAAACAAACAAACAAACAGGCACCACCGGCAAAGTGAGGAGGGCCCATGGATGAAATTGGCAAGTTGTTCTGAATCGTTCTGCGGGGGACTGTCCTCATCACCAGCAAAAAGGCCTCGGAAAGCAGGTGCTCGATACTGTATCATTGTCGCAATGCGCTGCAGATACCGTCTCTGGCAAAATTTCAGCACCGCACATCGGAGGTTTGGACTCAGCACTGTTCTTCCAACAAGGGTGCTTTAATTGAGCAACGGGCACGTTCTCTGTTCAGGCCCACTCGAGCGCTCTTTGTTGCTGTGGCTTTTGGAACAAGTGCTAACCTGGTTTGCACACTTATCCATCTTGCTGCAAATGGCTCTTCTAGTGCCCTTTTTGTGGTTTGGGCTCTAGTGCTGTGAAGTTTGAGAACACGGTTTACCAGCGGTTTTGGCGGGACACGCGCTCCGTGATTCAACCCTCAAGCTATTCACGGTTAAGAAAACAATCCTCACTGAAAGGAGCCCTTATCAACAAATTCAATTAGCTCCATATAACCCCCCGTGAAACCCGCCAAAAGGGAATTCACTTGGAATGGGCCCAAAAGGTGACGCTTAAAACCACCTGGTGTTGAAGAGGGGGTTAAGCATGCATGACCTGTGGCTTCTGAGACGGCACCGGCCACTAGGACCAGCTTGATCAGGAAGGGGGTCGAACATATGGCCCCTTGGACGCTGCATCATGCTGCATCGAGGCTGCCTGGGGGAGGCCCCTAATGAGACAAAAGCCCGTACCCCTAGTGAACATCCCAATCCCCACTAAAATAGATCGAAGTGGGTGGTGCACCTAGCCCAAAACGGGATCCCATTGGTTTTGACCCACAGCGAAATGGACAAATGCAGAGTGGCTGTGAGTGAAACGCCGCGCCATTCTGTTGAAGCTGTTTCTATATCAGGGCTTCATTCCCATGGTTCTAGGGGTTGAAATTCCAATTCCATTCTTTTCTGCAACCGTTCTTTTCAAAAACCGATCGCCATTTCCCCAGGGCTTTTGGTGGTTCTCTAGAAAGATTCGGATCCCTGGAAAGAATGGGGAAGTTACCCCTAGAATGGTTTGGATTTGCAATATCCTGCAAGTACCTCCTCGGGGATGACATGGCTTCCAAGTTGCTTCCAGCTTGCTCTTCTCGTTGGCATCCGCCGTAGCGAACTAGACTTAGCTAGGGCTAGGGGGACCCTAGCGTTTAACTAGACACAGCTAGGCAACATGAAATGCAATCACCTCAACTCGTTTTGGGGCCCTTTACGGACGGTTAACATGCTCAGCAGCAGCTGTTCCCCCCAACCCCATTTTCTACTCCCAACCTGGTTCATTTACACAATGTCACCCCTTTGCTACGTGTCGGCAACAGAAAACACCACTGGGACATACTGGGACTGGTAGAACCTTTTCGGGAAACCCCACGTACACTCCGCCAAACCCCTGGAGGTAGAGGCCCTCGCATGCATCCGGACTGTCTGGCGTGTCCACCGCAGCCTGCAAAGGCAAAAACCAGAGATGGCCGGCAAAAATCAGGTTGCCTCCAATTGATAGTTTACATTGGTGGTTTGGTGGTTTGCCATTTACCCCCTAGAACCCATGTGGCTGAAATCCCCAAACCAATCCAAGACACCAGTTGAGGGTTACCTGAGGTTACAAGTCCCGACACCCTCTCTGGCTGTTCAACTTCCTGGGTTGATCATCCCCAGCCGCAAAGGCCCTGCACGGCATGGCTGGACTCTGCAGTGGGAATCGAAAGAACCAGAGAGCCGTGATATTCACCGAAAGGCACCTTTTTCCACCCCCAAACCTGTTTTTGACCTCCATGTTGCCGTTTGGCTTGGCGGCCCAACAGGCGTCGGGCTACTGAGTCTAGAGGTGTTCTGGAGTCACCCAAAGAAATTATGGGCGTAAGGCTCGTGCTATTCGCCCTGACACAAGGGAAATCACAATTTGCTGACGAATGGGGCAACGCACCTTCTTCCTCGCACAATGCAAGAAGACCCACACAAGTAGCAGCCAAGAACCTAAATGATACACATGTGTGTGTGACAACGATGTAGTTCACAGGATGTAAAACATTTGCTGCGTGATGCTGCCCTGCAAGCGCATCGGATCCGGTCATCTTGGCTAATTAACAAGGAACTGCAGCACACCTATGCCAGCCACAAGAAAACCTGCCGTGCAGTTCCCAACCACAAAAACTGTCAAGGTCACCCCCGCCCCGGCTTTGTGGACCTATTCCTGGGTTCCAAAAAAGGGGCCCCAAGCATGCAGACCAAACAAAGACACCCAAATAGGCCTGCAGAAGAACAAGGGTGTTGCACGGGCGCCCGGTGGGCTAAAATATGGCCAATGCAGGGCACCAGCTCAAGCTTGCGCCTGCAACCTTTGATGGGCAAGGAACCCTTCTGCTTTATACTCAAACCAATGCACTTGAAAGGGTGGCTTATGGCGCAAAGCGTGGACGTCTTTTGGGCATGCCGGAAAGTAGCCGCAGCAGCAAATGCACGCAGGATCTCTATGCAACGCCTTGCACGTGGAAGATCTCAGAGCTTCCGCGGAAGATTTCTCTACTATTGTTTCTGTAGAAATTCCTTGATTTGCAGGATCTGTGGATAGGATCTCTTGCTAGGATCTCTTGGCAAGATCCGTGTGCATCTCTCGGCATGAACCTTGGGAGGTCCTGCGCAAGATCCGTGGAGATCTCTGTAGAAGATCTTTGCAGGACTTGGTAGGTTCTCTGCGCAGGATCTCTCAGACAATCCTCTATGAGTAGGGACCGCCCTCTATTGAAGGAAATCTTTGCAGGTCCTACGCAAGACCTCTTGGGAGGATCTCTGCAAGACTTCCCTGGGTCTTCCTAAGTCCGACTTTCTCTGCCTTTTCGTGGGAAACTGCTTTTTCAGGGAAGGTCATCATATTTTTGCCTGGAGGCAAGTTTCCTGTTTGTTTTTTGGATGTATGCAACAAACTGGCGGAGGCGTTTTTGCCCGATACAAAAGCGTTTTTTGGCGATACAATGGCGTTTTTTGCCGAACCGTGTTCTAGGCAGGTGTCCCAAGGGCGCTTTTTGAAGGAAAATGTGTTTTGTGATGGAAACGACTAAAACTGATGTAGTTTCGGCAAAAAGCGAAAATTATCCACTCCGGGTTTTCTAGGTCTTTGAACTTTTGCAAAATCTATGCGCAAGATGTCTGGGCAGGGTTTCTCGGCAAGACCACGCGTACACTATTTCTTTGTTCGGTAGTCGTGGGGAGCATCCTCTACAAAATGACTTGGAGCAAAATCTTTCCATGTCCTGCGCAAGAGCTTTGATTCTGCTCATACAATCTCTTGGCAAGGTCCGAGAATGGATCGTCTGTAGGTCTCTGCCCAGGATACAAGATCTCTTGCAAGAGTATCGTTGCAGGTCCCGTGCTTCGATGTTTGCGACTTGCACCCCGACACAGCGAGAGCGACCCGAGCCACCTAAAGTCCGCAGAAGCTTGACTTGTCAACGTTCAAAACCCGAACCGCGTCACAACGAGAGCGATTCAATGCACCCGAAGCGCGCAGTGGGTTCACTTTGTATGTTCCAAACTTGCACCGCGCCACAGCCACAGTTGACACGCCCAAAGTGCGCAGAGGGTTCACCAATCAAACGTTTTTCGAATTCGCGCGCGCCACAGCGAGAGCATACTCTCGAAAGACACCAGATTCGTCTGAGCACTTTGCCCGGGCCTGTGTAAGCTGCGCATGAACATCTCACTAGGAAACTTTTGCGCGAGCCTGCGCAGCCTGCCGCCCAAAGCAAGCACTCTGATCTACCGATCTACCCCGACCCGTAACTCTTTCCGATAGAACCCTTTGGCGTAGACAAACTGTTTGGGGAACAAAAGGTACCCGAGAAGACAGGCCCCTTCTGGCCCCATAGGGAAACCTGGAGGCTAACATGTCCTTCTGGGAAGAAACGGACACACACACACACACACACCTCGCGTGGTGTGTGTGTGTGTGTGTATGCCTTGCCTTGATGCACCTTGCCAGCGTGATGCCGAGTTTGGTCTTCCTGGCCGACACGGTTCGAGTTCGTTTGGGGAGTTCGGGGACGAGTTCGTTTGGGGCCAGTAAGGCACGAGCCGAACTTGCTCGCCAAGCTTGGGGCGCGAGGTCACATCCAACTTACGTGACTCGGTTGCTTTCTGCTCCCCTTCTAAAAGTTAAACCTTTACAGTAGTGGTGTAATGAAAAACCCATTAGTTGGCAAAAAGTTCCAAGCAAAAATGCACCAAAGGTGAGCGGGGGGCATTGGATCTGAGAATGGCTCGAGTTCACAACTGTCTGCCTCAATGCCTTAGGTGTGGATTTTATTTGTGCCCTTCCTTTGGTACGGGCGTGCCTTTTTCCTTTTTTGGACCCTGCAAACTGTTGGCTTGCCTTTTGGGGTGCCCTCAAAAAGAGATGCAAGGAATCCGGCGAACCATCCAAAATCTGAATGCTGGCGAGTTCCCCCAGCGGATGTTGCAAATCGCAACGGCCTGAAGCCTTCTCATTCACGCTACACCAGCATACATCAGCCCTTTGACCAATGGCTAGCAACCTGCGAGCCTTCCTTTCCCCATTCTTTCCAGGGACTCTTTGTCACATAACACTGATGAAAAAGGACCAAACTCCTGGGATAGGAGCGTTGGTTCAGCGAACCGGTATATATATATATATGAGAAGCGATGGGGATCCACCTCTACTAATCTATATCATTCTCACAAGCCTCCGGAATGCAAGAGCGGTCCACCGCCCAGAGGTTAACATGCTCATCGCCAAGGCAAAAAGAGAGGTGTCGTATGGGTCTGAAGCATGTGGAAAGGATAACGCTCAGTGATTGCATTGGATTGGATTTGCAGTGGTGGAATGAGAGCAATTTGGCACGCCGTCATTTCAGGCTTACAAAGGCTCAACCATTCAGAAAGGGTTCGCATTGATCAGCTCGCAGCTTGACACCGAGGCTGCTCTCAAGCTGCTTTGCTGTACCCCTTTTGCGCTGAGTAGACGCAAGCCAACTTAATGTTGTGTCCCCGTTGCAGTCAAGTCTCGCACCAGGGCTCCTCAAAACACACATTCATGTTGAATTTACGGCCACTCCTCGCACGCATGCTTCGCATGCCAACATGTTATTTAAAATACCAGTGAATCTACTCGGCCTCAAAAAAAAGCCACCAACCAATTGTCTGCCGCTCCCACCATTTCAAGGAACAAATCATGACTCGAAATGGCCAAATGGCTGTGGGTCAAAGATAGGTACGCAAAACGGAACCCTGGTAAAACGAAAACCTGCCGTCCATTTCCTGGTGGTTTAATTTGGACCCACACCCACCTGGCTGCTATTTGGCTGGAATTGTCGTGCTTATCTTTCTAGGTAATGATGACTTCCCCAACTAAAGAGCAAAAAAGGTTGTATGTGTGGCACATGGGGGTTGAGTCAAACGCAAGAGTCCATTTGACAGCCAAATGCCCCACGCAGGCGCCTGTCTTTCAGTCTGTCATAAAGGCCAGGTACCTTTGACAGGACCTGCAGAAAGCGATGGCGAACAGGATTGAAGAGGAATCGGATCTCATTCCCTGAACAACTTGCTATCTGTTCCATTTGCGTGTTCGCCCCCTGGAACAAATGAGCAACATATGTCCAGTAGTGATGGATTTCTTTCAAAAACCAACAGGGGAAAATTAAAACAATATTCTTGCACAAATGGAAGTGCTATCTATTGCATGTAAGCTGCATCCCCATTCATCTTTGGCTCTACCAGGGTGACCAACAGCGTTTCGAAACTTAAGTTGGGGGGCACGAGGGGTTGGATGAAATCCCAATGCGATACCAGGGAAGACACCTCTAAGCGAAGTGAAGAATCAGTCACCCGATGGCCGGGGTATGTTCCTGTGCAAAGCACGTCAACTCCCCCGCCGGAATGTAAGGAACCTGCACATGGCATACCCCCGAAGCGTGACCGAGGCTTCGAAGTACAAGCTTTTTTTTGGCCCTTGGGCAACAATTCGGGGGATCATGGCTTGCCTGGTCGAAGCAACACCCGAGGTCAACTGACAACTTCGGCCCAGCGAAGTTTCTTTGGACTTTGGGCTCTGACTTACCAATATCCGAGTCACCCCCATTTGGCTGTGGGTCAAAAATAGGCGAACCCCAAAATGGAAAACTGCTAAATGGAACCAAGGACTGAAACCTGCGGTCCATTTCCTGGTGGTTTAATTTTGACCCATGGTCACGTATTTGCTGCCGCTGATCACCCAAAAAGGCACTCCTCGCACAATGGCGTTGAGATGTACATGCATTCTTTTTTTGTGGCTTGAGCTTGGTTTGCAAATGCGCTGAGATCAAGAGACATGGACCTGTCCGCCTCTGCATGTGCGAGGGGCGGGCAACCGAAGTAAGCGCCAAGTTGCTTGCCCTCGGGTGTCCCTTGATGAGTACGGTCCCTGGGTTTTGACTGAAGTTAACATTTGGGGGGGGCTTTTTCATTTCTCCATCATTCCCTTGCCTGCCTAAAGAAAAACCGCAGCAAGTACCAGGGCAACTCAGAAAACCTCCACCTTGACGGCTGAAACACCACGCGCGGTTGCGGACACTCATTGGCACTTCTCCGCATGCGCGATCCCAACATTCAACTATTTGCCATAAGCTTCCGCCAAGGACCCGGTTTTTCGATGAAAGCGGGAGGCGGGACAAGTAGTTGCAAAACCCGGTCAGCCAGCTGCTTTGCTTTCAGGATAATTCGCAAACTATTGTTTTACATTGGTGGTACATTGTGCACCCAGGCAAACCCCATACCCGATGCCCCTGAAACTTACATGGGTGCGTCTTTTTGTTGATGGTACCCCTGTGTGTTGAAGGGAAACCGCCAGGAAAACCCAGCCATTGTTTGAGGGTCCAACCTTAAAAGCGACACACCCACCGGATGAGAAACGTGAAATGTCAGTCCTCCGCCGCCAAATTCTTGTGCTCGGATAAGTCCGGCCTCAGATCAGGATCCCCGATCAAACGCACCTCACATTTGCCTGGTACAATGTAGACACTCTCTGAAACAGCTGGCAAAAAATGTTGTTTTTGAAAAACAAATCAAACCACACAGGTCCCCAATAGCTGATCCAATCACGTGACGCCCCACCATCCAACCAACATAGTGAACAAGCCCCGGTTAGAAACTGCAATCCTATTGGACAAGGATGCATGCCTTGTCCAATCTGCCGGTTTGTTCAATGCCTGAAGCCTAACAGGCAATGCGCAACGGTTGAAGGCTGTTCTTGCGTGCAGGTGTGTGTGTGTGTGGGTTTGCGCCTCCAGGCGTGTGGTGTATGTCTGTAACATGCAACAAGGAAACATGTTTCTGAGAGTGCATGCACGTGTATGTATCAATGTAGCACGACCAAACAAACAGTCATGCAACGCAGTCTGGAAGGCCCTTGATCTTGAACCATTGAACAAGGAGCTTGGGTCAAGATATTGTTCACGAGTTGGCCGGAGTATGCCGGAGGTTCCAGAACTCCCTACACCTGGTGGGTTGTCACAAAAATACAGGGAAACCAAGATTTGACCGGCCATTTGCAGCACGTTTTTTTGTTTTTTTTGCAGTTAGAATCACTGGCCAGGGAGTGGAGCAGACTGACTCTGGCGTAAAGTCGGCTCCAGGGGCTGAAAGGTACAAATGAAATCAGAAAACTGGCTCGAAACTGGACAAAACACCGTCAAAGTCCGCAACGTCGTAAACACAACAACTCGTTGCCTAATGCAGTGTACTGCTCCATGCAAAAACCAAGCAAAAGCAAAAGCGTCATGCTAAAAGCATACATACTAGCATCAATACTATCATTAATTTGAAGTATACAGGCATAATCAAAATGCCCTTCTCGATCAAGTTTTGGCTGATTTCGTTGAGCCGGAATATGAGGCACGCGGTTGCTTGTGTTTCGCGGTGTGAGGGAGATTTGTTCGTCGGTCGTTTCAGTTTTAGGGACGTCCGCTTTCAAATGGCCGGGACGGGGCGAAGCGCGGGGCGTAAACAGTCCCGATGAGGAAACTCCGGTTGAACTAGAGATTTTCACAACTAGGTCCTCCAGTAGAGGTTAGAATAAGGGTACCCTTTATCTGTAGTCTATTTTAGTAGGAGAACCCTCCCCCAAAAAAGGGGAGAGAAAGGGCGCTACTGGGGGACCTAGACAAGATTGTGTTTAACACCGGAATGTTTTTAAGTTTCAGGGCTGTTGTTTTTATTTCCCCACCCAACACGTGTTGCCAATCCTTCACGGAAAGCTGAGGAAAACCCGATGGCTCCCTCTGGCCCGCACAGCTTCTCAGAGCCATCTGCTGCGAAGCCGGACTGGGCGGGGCGTTCGCCGCGTTACGCAGGAGGCAGGGGACCTGTTTGTGGACATTCGATCTATGTCCACGCGGGTATAAGGTTGTTCCCTACTAAACAGCATAATATCCATTTGGGTATGACTTGTCTGATTGGGGGCCCTTTAGATCATAGGCACTTTCTTATCGGGGCATGAATATTTTCTCAGTGTGCAATTTTCCGACGAAAGAGTAGCTCATTTTGAACCACATCCAAACAGGAACACATACTGGTAGACCAATTCTCAATTGCTTTCTGCTCCCTGCCAAAAGTTTATCGTTTTGTGATTGAATACGGAAAACCAATTCGTTGGCAAAAGTTAAAGTCCTAACATCCCTTGGCAAAATACACCAAAGAAACATGGAAAGCCTCAACAACAGGGCGCTGAAAGCCAAGCCACATGCTTCCAAAAATCCACTATGGCTAGATACCCCCTCCTGTCCACTAACATGGAACCTGACCAGCAATCACCTCGCACATTAACCTCCACCTGTTGAGGCCTTGGCCATGATATCCCAATCTTCGCAAAACGGACCGTGCGACCTTGCGAGGAGAAAGTCAACCCCCCCACAGTTCCCGAGAACTTCTTTCATTTGGTTAAGACCCCTGGCAAAAATAAACATATTTCACCTAGTGAAATCGATTCCCTTTAAAACCAACAGGGAAAATAACAACTAAAAAAAACAACAAATGGAAGACAACATTGCTGCCTTTGGAAGATGACAAAAGTGGAGCCTGTGGCAAAATTCCAAATGAAATGGTTGCGAGGGGATCGAAACGGAAAGGAACCAACCATTTGGAGAGGTCTCTAACTTCAAAGATCCGTAAAGCCTATGTGGCCAAGGGTCAAAATCCCGTACCCCCAGTGAACATCCCAATCCCCACTAAAATAGGTTCTACCCCAAAATGGTACCCCAAAATGGTACCATTGGTTTTGACCCACGGACGGGCAACCCAACAGGACATTCGGGTTTGCAAACTAGTGGTGAAGAAATGCCCACCGTCGGTACATGTGTCAAGGAATCAGGCCGTGATCCTCCAGCTCTTCCACTGACCAAGAAGGTGGGACCAAAGTACCAGACAAGATGGCCTCCTTTGGAGAGCTACTGTGGATGGACGAAATCATGCACCATCTAAGAAACAATGGTTGAAACCCTTTCCACTTGGTGCAGGATTTCGTCCATCCACAGTAGCATAGTAGTTGGGCGCGCCTCACTTCCATGCACTGATGCGTTGCAAGAGGTGACCTCTCCCCATGATCATAGACCATGGTGGAGGTGAACAATATGTTCTAACGTTGGGAACCCAAGTGAACGACAGGACCACAGGTGTCCCTTTAGGGTAAATAGATGGCCCTGGTAGATGATTAAACCACCAGGTAAACCAGGAATCGCCATCGATCATTTCTACCAAAACGTCTACCAAAACAACAAAAAAGGACACCTATGGACAGGACTGCTTGCCCCCGTGGCCACACGTTTTTGTTTTTAATGGGCCTCGCCAAAAAAAAGCTGGCGCACTCCTGTCCGCCCGCCTCCAGCGAGCCGAGGCGAAGATCGCGGGAATCCCCTGCGGAAATTGGAGATTAAGCTGTCTGCCCTGTCTGTCTGTTCCGTCTTGTTTGCAGTGTCTTATCTCTATAGATTCCCTTTAAAACCAACAAGGGAAAAGTAGAAAATATTCTTAAGCAAATGGAAGTCCTCTTGTTTGCAGTGTCTTATCTGGGCTGACTTTGAGTGGGTTAAATGGATATCCCCGGAGAAACACTAAAAGGCTAAAAAGCTAAGGGGATGGCTGGGAGCCACCAAGTTTTGTGTCTGGCTGTCGCCACCTCTCTTTTCTGGCTCTGTCCCTGTCTGTCTGCTCGTCTGCTCGGCTGCTTGTCTGCTTGTTTGCCTGTGCGCCTGCTTGCCTCTCTGTCTCTCTATCTGTCTGCGGGCCGAACGAACCTCCGAGAGCGGCCTTGAAGCAACATATCGAGCCTGGCATCTTTTTCCCACGAAGTGTAATTCATTGGCGATCAACTTGGCTACAAGCATACTCTAGATGTTTCTTACAATCCTGATACACGGGTTGAGTGGGGGAGCATCCGGCACCGGGCTTAGGCCAAGTTATTTCCACCTTGCTTCCTTACCAAGCACGTGGGATATGTCAATCCCTTAAAACAAAAGTCCAAACATGTTCAAACATGTTTGTCGACCACGGGAACCAAGCCACAAAAACTAGGTCATCCAGTAGAGAGGTTAGAATAAGGGTGCCAACTTTTTCTCGGTCGTCAATTTTAGTAGGGGAACCCTCCCAACCCAAAACGTTGGTACCAGGCCCCTACTGGGGGACCTAGAGAAGTCGTTTCAACCAACTCGTTCGGGTTTCCCTTGGTCGGCCCGGTGGCTTCGCGTGCGGAGCGAGTCAGCGAGTCTCCGAGTCTCCGCGCCTGACATGTCCGGCCTGGCGCTTGTTGGCCCCGAGTGGGACAAAAGCCGCTTCGCACCAGTTGGGATTGGTGGCCGGTGCTTGTCTCATTGGTTTTAGGGCTTCATTTATTCCAAGTGGTGCAGGATTTTGTCGACAATGTGATAAGAGTAGAGCTCCCAGGGCTTTCCATTGGAAGACTTTCCATTGGAGCCTGAGGGAGCCTATGTGCGGCCAGGAAAATGGAGACCTCCCCGTCCGATTCCAAGGACCCCTACAGAGTTTTTTTTTTTTTTTTTTTTTTTTAAACACTGTGCCAAGTGGCAAGTATCAATCCAAAGAGGGTTCCCTTAGTATCGCAGAATTGGTGCTGAAACAAACTGTCCCACATGATTTTCAAACGCTGCTTGTAGGCCCTAAGGATCCTTGTTGCCGGATTCTTCAGTCATGATTCGCGGATCCATTCATGGACATACATTTGCCCTTTCACCTCTGTGCAGTGGTGTTCTCGCAAATTCAATGAGATCATAAACAGATCGGATTGATTGATTGATGACGAAACAAATCCAAAAAAACAAACAAAACACACACACACACACAAGGATAGGGGCATCATCAATTTTGCCTGTCGCTTCTATCTCTCTCCCTCTCTTCCTCCAGGGGCTGGTCTATAGATACAAGTCGCCTCGCAGAGTCCTGCAAACGTCTCATGAAACACGGACAACATTTTGCTTGGACGGCCATTTGGGTGGGCTCACCGCGCGGGAAGCTCGAAGCATGTCCTCCCAGGAATAGACAAACTCAGAGCTGACTACTGGGAAACCATAAAGAAGCCATGGGGAAACCATGGGGAAACAGGGTATTCACTTTGCTCTGGAGTTGAGAGCAACACCGACAAAAACGACGAAAGGATCCGGCAGAATGGAATCGATTTTGTCAGTTGCTTATTGGAAACCCCAGGTGGGGAAATGAAAACCATGGGAAGTTTTCACAAGTCAAGTTGAAAACCAAGGGAAGGGGATGGCACATCATTCATGGCACCAAGGAGCCACTATGATGCGTCTGCCCTCAATAAATCAACCCTCATTAAAAAGAAAAGAAAAAAAAATGGCTCACCCAAGTTGGATGATGCCCATGCTTATTAGGCAAATAATCCTGGCTAGGTTCATCCCGCCCCCCGTTGCTGTACTGGTGGGTTTCCCCATGACTTCCCACCGGTTTGCACCGGTTTGGTTTCCCCTACGCCCACCCTAAGCCCCGGTTTGCCCACCCTTGGCAATGGCTTGCTGCCTTGGCCGGGTCTGGCGCTTCCAAACCTCAGCGCAGCGCCGGAGCTCTCTGAGTCTAGCCTCTACTCGACAGCTTCGACGTTGACGCGTGAAAGCTTCTTCTGACTCTGCCTGGCGCCCATTTTTCGGAACTCAGGACCATAGAGGATGTTTTGCACAACGACCAGCAGGTCGAAACCCTTCAAAACTCGGGAACAAAACTGGGGCTGGCAGTATGTATATATATATATAATTGATCCATCAAGTCACTTGTTGCTCACTTATAAGTGTATGTGTTGATTCATGTCATTTGTGTATTTATTGTAAACTGATTCATTTATTCATTCATTCATTAATTCACTCACTCACTCATTCACTAATTAACTCACTCCCTCAATCATGCCTACAAATCCATTCATTCATTTCATGCATTCGATCAATAATTCATTCATGTAGTCACTGCTTCCTTATCTATTCTAATTCATGCATGTATTAAAACAGTGTTCTATTTAGGTGTTTGTATATATATATATATATATGTGCCTATACAACCATTTATTTGACTGTGTTGTATCGACATGTTGTTGTTTACTTAGGTTTCAGTTCGTTATTCAATTGTGGTATCTATTTGTTTATCTAGTTATTTATTCATGTATATATATATATGTCTCACTTATTTGTTCATGCCATTGAATAGTTGGGGTATTAAGTACTTATTGATCCAATTATGTGTGTATCGGTTCGCTAATTTAGTTCTTACTGATATGTACATTCATGTGTGTACGCGTATGTAGATGCGTATAACGGTATGAAATACATATATATATATATATATAAATATGTATACGCATATATAATGTACATATATCGCCCAGTTTTAAGATACACATGGCAACCTAGGAGGTGAAATAGGGGTCTACAAGCTGAACACGTATCCATCCCAATGTGGTGCCCATTCACCAAGCTCTACCTGGCACGAGCTTCCCAAGCGGATAGTTGTGCCCTGCCGCTGTTCCGTGCATTGCGTGTCAACTGAAACCCTCTGAATAAGACCATGCCTGCGAACTGGGTGCAAGGTGCACGATAAAGGATGTTGAAGTATATATATATTATATATATATATACTCGAGGTTTTTGTGGTTTCAGAGCACAAAAGGGGCAAAAGTGGTTATATGAAAAACCCACCGCTCAGGACCTTGCTTTCTGATTATATATACATATATATTCCGCAAGTCATAAGTTTGAAGCTGCTTCACAATTATAGTTTCAGATGAATCAAAGTGGGATTCTGAAGGATTGTTGACATAGCAGTTGACGGACAGCGTTCGGAGAAGCGTGTTGCACGTAGGCCCTTCGTCTCACAAATCAAAGGGTTGGGTTACTGAAAATTATACGGGAAACCTGCTGATGTAGGCTGTATTGAAATCTTGTCCTGTAGATTTTCCTGCAACCAAACCCTTTGGACAAAAGGCGGGGTCATAAAATAAACCCAGAACAAAGTTGGCCATGCCCGCAGGCCTAACACTAAATCACCGACTCAAACGGGGGGAACTTAGGAAGCTGCACCCGTGAAGCTCCTTTCCGTGGCAAAACGTGACTCACACCCCGAACGGACCTTCGTAGTGTCTCCAGACAAATCTGTGTCTTCAAGTTGGGGGCCTAGTCAAGGCTAACTCAGAGCAACGATCGAATTGCGCGTCTGAATTGAGCAGGGAGGGTTGTGAAGCAAAGCCCCTGATATAAAGCGGAACATCCTTACTGTGAATGGACCAAATCCA